CACACCTGCATCTTTTCCCCTTAAACATCTACATCAGGAAATCTGAGAGGAAACCTGCAAAAGGTTTGAAGATATTTTCAGATGAAACAGATCAGGACAGTGACCAGTATCAATTGATTAAATGGAGCAACTAGATCTGCTGCCTTGGGCTTTAGAGTTTTTTGGCCAAAACCCCCCACAGGGTCTTGCCTGCTGCTCAGTCATAGGTTGTCACATACTGGGGAGCTGTGACCTGAAAAGCTCATCCATGCTTCAGCATCACACCTAGAAATTGAGCAGAACTTCCCAGTTTTTAGGCACCTGAAGCAGGAATTGGGGATGTTGTCACTGCCCTGTGTTTCTCCTGTGTTCAGTGCAGGACAGCAAAATCCAGCTGCCAATCCCGCAGCTGCGCAAGGTGTGGGCAGAAGCGGTGCACTACGTCATTGGGCTGAAGGAGGATTACAGCAGGCTCTTCCAGGGACAGAGAGCTGCCATGTGAGTTGTCACCCTTCCAGAGGGAGCAGGGCTGTGCCAGCACTGAGTCTGTTTGCCTGGAATCCTGCATCTTGGGGTGTTTTTGTTCCCTGAGGTTTTACAGTCCTCTGCTGTTCTGTGCCTTTGCATTATAAAACATATTTGGGCTGGGAGCTTTTTCCACTCCACAAATTATGCTGGGTAATTCCTAACATTGATCATAACCAAAAACCACTTGAATATACTCAGAGGTTCACAGTGTGGCTGAGGTTAACAGGTGTGGGAAATGGATTTTTATAAAATTTTCAAAGCTTAACAGAAGGCTCACATAGTATATATCTGTATGCAAACTTTGAGATAAGAAATGCTGACCTAGAAATGCCCTGGAATAGGACTGGAACTAGAAACAAGTTTCAAAGGATGGCTTGTAAAAAAGACTAGATACTTAGGAGAAATAGGACTATGAAAGATGCATTGTAGTGGGACCCATGAGGGATAATTTTAGATGTTGGCTTTAAGGCATTTACAGCAAAAGCTGATAGGCCAAAAAACACTTGTAATTAGGAAATAGTCAGCTTCTCATTGTGATGGTGTGAATTATAGCATCTGTATTGTGTCACCCTTCACATGAGACTGAAAATGGAGTAGGTTTTTAAAACACCTCTCAGTTGCCCCATCTCTGGGTCAGAAAAGAGCTCAATCTGACAGATGGGACCTCTGGAAGTCCTCCAGCCCAATCCATGCTCAAAAAGAACCACATCCAGACAGCTCTCAGATATTTCTGAGGGTGGAGACTCCACAACATCTCTGGACAGCTGGTGCCAGTGCTCAGTCCCCCTGAGAACAACAGAATTTCCCTTTTTTGAAGTCCAGGTGGGCTTTCCAGCTGATGTGTGCTGTCCTTGTTCCATGTGTTAGGCTCAGCCTCCTTCGGTACAACGCCAACCTGATCAAAATGAAGAACAACATGGTGTCAGCATCCCAGCAGCTGAAAGCAAAGCTGGAATTCTTCCACCAGAGCATTCGCCTCGACCTGGAGAGATACAGTGACCAGATGGCTTATGGCATATGTAGGTAGTGGGGAGTACTTGTCTGGGTGTCTCCTGTGGTCCTGGAAAGGAACTCAGCATCTTTATGGGTGTATTTTAGCTAGGGGAGGTGCAGGAGAAGAGTTTGGCAGGAGGATAAAAACCAGAATGCTTTTGGAGACCTTCAGTGATAGTGAGACAGGTGATCAGCTGTTCTCCACTGAGAACAGAAAACAGGAGCATTAATAGTACTGGTGATGTAAATATTTGCTATTTATTCATTCACAGTCTGATTCATTTGGAGTTCTGACTGGGCAAGAGCTGCTGCACTTGCTGACAGTGCTAACAAGCTGCTGTGCTTGTTGTTAGGAGAAACCATTTGTCAGGATGAGAGATGGGTTTAAAGAACACCAGCTACAGTTTCATGTCCCAGAAACAAATAGTGCTGAGGAGAGAACAGCAAGATTTACATGTAGTTTGAATATATATGGCTAAAAAATGCAACCTGAGTCAAAAATGATGACTGGGCTGAAGGATGATGATGGAAAATGGAAAGACAATATGAGCTGGGTTTGGACAGTCTGTGTTCAATCAAAAGTGACAGTTGTTGAGCTTAATGATGGACTTTGAAGACTCAGAGTTGTTTTAGGCCAGTGATTGCAAGCAGTGAAATCCTACCTAGGGGTCTGTGTGTGAGTTAAGGTTGAACACAGAGTTGCAGCTTTGCTGTGTCTGTGATCTCTGTGTCATGGCTCCTGCTAGGAGATTCAGCATCATGTTCTTTGTGTTCAAATTACACCACATAAAGTCCAGGTCTTGCTTTATTTTTGTGTATTAATGTCTTTTTATAAATTAACACCTCTTTTTCCTTAAGCTTCAGAGAAGATGCTCAAAGCCTGGAAGGAAATGGAAGAGAAAGCCTCTCAGTGTGCCCAGGTAAGGGATGTTAAAGAAGCTGCATTATCTCTGTGTGAAGGAGATTGTGACAGGAATTTAATGTGTCAGATGTGCCACTGCTGTGTCCCTTCCCTGTCTCATATCCTGCTGCTGTGGGAATGGGAATACCATTGCAGGTGCATTAAAAAAGACACAGTGTCCTGTCACCAAGTTGTTTGAATGGATTTGGACAAAAACAACAAAAGTCACCAGCCTCAGCTCTCTGAAGAGGAAAGTGAAATGCAGAGACTTATTACTTGTTGCCCAAAAGAAATGGTGCTGCTATGGATCAGGAGTCTTCCTGGCTGGATTTGCTGCTCACAGAAATTCCCATTGCTGAAGCTGAAAACCAATCACTTGCTATGCAGAGATTTCAAAATTGTAGGATTTCACTGAGGAGTACAGACATGAATCACTGGCCTGCTGCAAGTCAATATGCAAATCAGTTTTAAATGAGAGTCATCTGTTTTTTGTTATCTAAAGAATGGATAAAAAGGTGGCTGCTTCTAGGAGAATAATTGAATTGAATTGTCTCTGGCTTTTTCCAGACAAACAGGAACCTCACCCAATTCTTACTTGGCAGACCATCAGAATTATGTTCTGTTATTCCACCTGCCCTGCCCCTTTATCAGGAATGGAAAAAGTTCATACACAGGGATATATCAGTCTGTCTAGGAGGCAATCCAGAGAGATGATGTATGAGGAAACTGATTTTTCTCAGCCATTGTTGGTGCTCAGAGGTTTGGTTGTAGGTGATGCCATGCACTGAGAACAAAAACCTCAATTGTAGCAGTGCTGTGCCAAAGAGCTTTTTTGTGTCCTAAACTTTGCAGGCACTTAGCCCATTATCCAAGCAAGTGTTCTTGGGGGTCTTTATCTCTTTGATTGAGTCTGACCTGTGGCCACATTTCCCCTCAGGCTGAAGACATTGGCCACCTGGATGAGCAGATCATGGCCCTGCACACGGAGATCGTGGAGCTGCAGAAGAGCCCGTACGCCAGGCGCCAGGGAGAGGTCATGGAGAGCCTGTAAGCCCTGGGCTCCTCATTTCCACTCCAGAAAATAGTATTTCTGTGTCTCAGGGGATTTTTCCCTTTGTAGCTGGTTCCCTCAGCGATTCTGAAATGCTGGCCACAAGTACAGAGTAGTGTATGGTTGATTTGAGATGATGTTGCTTGTGAAAGGAAAGATCCCACCACTTCCCTGTCACTGAACTGTGAAACCTCATCTTACAAGAGCCAGGACTAAGATAAATCTTGGTGTCAACTGGGGATTTCCTTTTGTGTTGGAGAGAAGTGGCTTTCTTACTGTTGAGTGAGGAAAACTACGTGATCATTGTAAAACCCTATTAAATATCTTCAGTATTTTCAAATCAAGGGTAAAGATCTCATGAGTACTTGGATATTTGGAAAGTTTTGGGAGTTTTTTTAATATTAAAATATGAAAGAGCTAAATGGTATTTGTGATCTTGAGAAGACACAGGAAGCAGTTACTGGGCTGCTGCTGAGAGCACAAGTGCCAATTCTAAAAGGGGGATTGAACAGCTATTAAATCTATTAATCAGAGCTCTTCAGAGCAACTCTGACTGTTCAGGGAGAAAATGTGCCTGCTCCTGGTGTGTTCCCCCCCTCCCTCTTTGCAAAGTTGCTTTTCATCCTGTGTAGTTGCAGCAGAACTGGTGCATGGGGAGGAAGTGGTGCAGAGGGGAAGCCACCTCCTGCAGCAGCAGCTCAAACTAATCAGGATCGTGCCTCCTTAAACATTATTTTTAAGCAATTCCACCACTGCAGACCAGGATCAGGGCTGGGAAACTGCTCCTTGTTTCTGACAGACTGGGATTTAGAACAGGAAGGATTTTGTTCAAGGCTGGAAGTTTTCAGTGTGACTGGTTTTGAAATACTTGAAAGAGGTAATGTTTGTTTAATGGGAAGAAGACAAGCACAGTTGTCATTGCTTGTGATGCAGCTGTCTCTTTCCATTTACAGAATATCACTAAAATTCAGGCAAAAAAATGCAGAGTAGGAACAGAACAAGAATTTCTCAGGCAGTTGTGCAGTCAGAGTTTCAAAAATGAAATCTGATAAAGAAAGATGCAGGGAAAATAAAACACAGCTGAGCCATGGGAAGATTTGAAACAGAAAATAAGCTCCACTTGGTGTGGTTTTCTGAGAAGAAATTGCATAATTGGAGAAAAAGAGAGACAGCTTTGGGGAAAGTGTTGGATTCCATTTCAGAGGGAGTATCCCTGTGTTCCAAAGGCCATGGCTGAGTCCCAGCTGTAGGGGAAGGACAAGGGTCTGAGTTCAGAAAAGCATCCCTTCACTGCAATGCTGTTTTTGAGTCACCTGGCTGTTTTTGAGACACCTGCCTGAATAATTTTCTTCTCTTTAAAGGGAGCAGAGAGCCATAGACCTGTACAAGCAATTAAAAGCACGACCTCCAGGTATGGAAGGAGATGATTTAAATTTCACACTTTTACCCCATGATTAATTGTTGTGAGCTGAAACCCAGGGAATGCTGTTAGGGTTTACTAACATGGTGTTTGCTGGCCCTTCCAGATCATGCCTACAGTGACAGCACAGACATGGTGAAGATCATTGTGCAGACAGTGCAGAGCCAGGACCGAGTCCTCAAGGAGCTCTTTGGCCACCTCAGGTACTTTATGCAGACAAAAAAAATCCCATTTGCAGCATTTGGAGCTTTGTAGTAGGAAGGGATAGGGAAAACCATGGAGGTCAGAGCCCAAAAAGCTCCATTCACATTTCTCATAGCATTAATTCTGCTCCTCTGTGTTGAGTTCCCACTTAGTTTTTAAAGACATGACTGTTAGCATGCAAGAGTTCACTTTACAATGAGGCAAATTCTGCCAGTTGGAAGTTGTAATACAAATCTTCAAAGGAAAAAAATTTTAACAAATTCCTTCAAAATTCAAAGGAAAAAAAATTACTTCAAAGGAAAAAAAGTAGCAGTTGAGAAGATACCACAGTGATTTGTACATTAATTTTTCAAGTATCCCAGTTTTCCATTTTCCTTGAATCCCTTGAAGGTGGGGCTTTTGGTTTTGCCAGAATGTGCTGGGAAGTGACTTTGTGTTTGGTTTTTATTCCAGCAAGCTCTTGGGCTGCAAGCAGAAGATCATTGACCTGCTCCCTGAGATTGAAGTGGCTCTGAATAACATCAAGGAAGCTGACAACTCAGTGATGCAGATGCAGGGAAAGAGGCAAAGGGAGATCTGGCATTTGCTGAAAATTGCTTGTGTGAGTAGCTGTTGGGTTATTTGCACTTTTTGCAGTGCATGAGCCAGGAAGTAAACTCAGCAAAAAGGGGTAACTGCCACCCCATGGTTGTATTTTGTTTTTCCTGCAGAGAAGGGCAGTCTGGGATGGTGAAAGCAGAAGTTAAATAGGTGTTTTCCTGGTTAAAGTGTTTTAAAGGGTACCCTGCTTTTTTAGCATTAATTACAGTGCCAGAAGCCATCTCCTGGTTCCCACATCTGTGTCTGCATTACCAACAGTGCTCATGTGCAATCCCAAATCTTCCCTAGGTAGCACTGAAGCCTCAATTTTGCTGAATTTCTTTTTGCAGACTCAGAGCTCCTCTCGATCCCTGGTCAGCTCTAGCCTGGAAGGGACAGCCTCAACTCCAGCAGCCACTTGGCTGCCCCAGGGCTGCTCAGGGAACTCAGCTCCTCACCCTCTGTCCTCTCTGGCAGCTCCTGAAGATGGGTATGTGCTGTGTTTGTGGGGTGCCTGTGGCAGGGAGGAATGAGGAATCTGATTCCATGCTCTCAGAAGGATAATTTATTATTTTATCATACTGTATTATATTAAAGAATTCAGAAAGGGTACTTACAGAAGGCTAAAAAGATAATAATGAAAATTTGTGGCTCTCTCCAGAGTCCCAACACAGCTTGGCCCTAATTGACCAAAGAGTCAAAACAATTCACATGAAACCAATGAAACAATCTCCAAACACATTCCACATGTGAGCACAACACAGGAGAAGCAAATGAGATGAGAATTGTTTTCTTTTTTCTCTGAGGCTTCTCAGCTTCCCAGGAGAAAAATCCTGGGCAAAGGGATTTTATCAGAGAATGTGGATGTGACAGGTATGAGCTGCAGGGAGCTCAGTATCTCAGGGCTTTATCCTTCCCAGAGCAGTTCCAGGAGTTTTTGTGTCACTAATGCTCTAAAGAATCAGAGATTTGGTTGAACTCTGTGTTCAGAGATCTGTATTCTCTGTTTCTGAGCTATTTCCAGGTGCTGAATGCCCTGCTGAAGGACTGTGCCATCCATTTATTGCATGAAATGTTGTTTTTCCTTGGGACTGGATCTGGTTCTTTAGGCCCCTGTCCCTCAGTCCATGCTGAGCTTTCTGGAGCTCAAGGGGTTTTTCTCTTTGCTTCATTAACAATTCCAATTATATTTTATCAGTGTGAAGCCATTCCCCTTTGTCCTGCCACTTCCAGGCAGGTTTTTGTGTCACCTATCGCTGCACAAACTACAAAAATTAATTGCACAAACTACCATAAAACTAAGCTACAAATCACTTTTTTGAGCTGTTTGCTTTTGTTTTTTTTTTTTTTTTTCTCTCCTCTCAGTGCAGGACCTTTTGATGGGGATGTCACTTTTGGTGCTGCTTTTGTAATCCATCACCTTGGGGCTTTTTTTTCTCCTTCCTGCAGGGAGAATTTTGCTGACATGATCCGGGAGAATGTGAATTACCTGGAGCTCTTCAGCAGCATTCTGCAGGAGGTGAGGCAGGAGCAGAACAGCATGATGGTAAGTGCTGGTGCACCTGCCAGGACCTGCCTTTCAGGGGACACCCTGGGCACATGGAGAACTCCTTGAATAGGAAAAAGGTGCTCCAAGCCCCACCCAGCCTGGCTTTGGGGACACTTCAGGGATTCAGGGGCAGCCACAGCTGCTCTGGGCACCCCATGCCAGTGTGCATGGATTCAGGTTTATTTCCAAAATCCCACCTAGCCCTGCCCTCTGGTAGTAGGAAGCCATTCCCTGTGTTCTGGCACTCCAGGCCCTTGGAAACAGTCTATTTCCATGTTTCTTGTAGCCCCTTTAGGCACTACAAGGCCACAGTGAGGTGGCTCTGAAGCTTCTCCTCTCCATGTGAACAATCCCAGCTCTCCCAGCCTTTCCTCAGAGAGAGGAGGCACTCATCCTGTGGGAAATCCCAAACTGGAGGGGACTCACAGGGCTCCTGTGCTGTGCTGCACTCTGTTAACCCATGGGAGCATCCTTGCTAAGGGACATTTCTGATTTTTCATCAAACACAGCAGCCAGACCCTGCCCTCAATTGTTTTTTTTGCTCCTCTTTGCAGAGTTTCGACTGGAGCTGGCTGAAGTAGCCCCAGGAGCTGAGGT